TGTTAATCGAGCCAAAGTTATCAGGCCAAAAACAAAAAACAAAAAACAAAGTGAACATAATATATTTGTATTACCACATGCACACATAAACTAAAAGATGAGTCACCTATTAACAATGATTGGTCCAACTAGTGATGATTTAACCTATAATAAGATTACAGGTTTAAATCTCATTGTTAATGTAAAAACTTTATTAGCAGGCGATCTGTAAATATATCCAATTGTTCTTTAATTCCAAAAATATATCCTAGCCTTAATAAGCTTTGAGACTTAAATTACTTAAATTTTCTATTTTTTTAAAAAAAATGAGTCACATATTGCTAATGGTTTGTTAATAGCTAGCTTATAAATTACTTTGAGTTTTATAATTTACACATACTCTTTTTATTCTTATTTATAAGTTATTTGTGAAATATATGAAGCAAGTAATATTTTTACCCTTGGTATGAATATTGTATGTTGCGTAATTATGGTAGAGGGAGATTAAGAGATCGAGATAATCATAGAATTTATTTAATTATGGGTATTTTTTGAAAGATGGATTAATTTAATGACTAATTTTCTTGATCTGAGAGGACTAGTTAAAGTAACATATATAGCTAATATATACTAATGCTGACATATATGAAAATAATAACGTGACATGATTAGTGTGTGCCTAAATAATCCATAACCATTTGATCGCAAAAACTCATACTTCAATTTGTTTGAAATATTGGAATTAGAATAGCGATGAGAGAAAATTAGGGAAGAAAACTAGCGAAAAATGAACTTTTTTTTCTTGCTCTTATTTTTCCTAATTTCCTGATAAAGAGGGGGAATAAAACTAAAGAAAGAACTTTATATTGTGGACATAATTATCCTTTTCTTCTTTAACTTTGTGCTCATTTCAAACCGTGCTAGGGTTAGGTTTAGGATTACAAGTACCAAACGATATATGAGAAAGAGAGGGTTTGTTTGGTGATGATATATACGCGGATAAGCAAGCCAGTAGACAAGGGGAAAATTAAATAACTTAAAAGTCAAAACGAACCGATTCAGTGGCAAGTTGTTGGGCTTACAAGAAATTAAAGCTGAGTCCCTCAGTTGACTCTTCTGCAAAATTCAGCGGTTGGAGATCGACAAAAGATGAGCAGCTGGACCAGAAACATCAACATACTGATGGAGCGATTTCTGGTCCCTTGAACTTATTAATGGAACATATGCTTCATCAATAGCTCCATCGATCCAGAGAGATTAGAGAATGAACGAGATAAGGAATATATAATAATAATAATAAATAATAATATTTTAAATGAGCTTGATGTGGTGGGTATAAATAAGGTGGTAGCATGGCATTGGAATTCACTTCAATTCATCAACATCAGCAGAAAACTTCAGAGAGAGAGGGTGTTGTATGTAGATGAAGAGTCATGTCTGGATAGCCAAGGATGGCTTGCCTTTTACATGATATAATTTCAATCCGTATGGGGTTTCTATATTTGAGAATGAAGCCCTTGGGATTGGATTGATTGTATACAATGGCAAGCTTCTTTGGCTACTGGACTGTCTCTTGTCTTACATGCTACACCCTTCTCTCTTCCTTCATTATTTTTCACAGAATTTGCAGCCTAGCTAGTTACTTCTTACTACCACATGTCCGCTCTTCATGTTCCTTTACTTCTTCATTACGGTATGTTTCATACAGACTTCGATTTTGGAATCAGTTTTACTTTTCATATACTAATTTTCTTTTCAAGCTTTCGCACTTTTTCTGTAGATGACAAGATAGATTCTATTTTTCTTACAATAGAAACAGAATATGTCATATTTTGATAAGTTGTTTTCTCTTATTCAATGAGTGTCTCAATTATAATTATTAAATTTTATCAATATTTAAAAATTATCAAGATAAGTTCAAAACAATCAAAATACTCCTTACCTTGAGATTTGTGCCTTTTAAGCATTATATGACAGAACTCTAATGACCATTCACTTAAATTAAATGATTGTATTAACATGCCATATAAGATACTCGTTAAGTGAGTGAACTTATACTAATCCTTGAATCCTTTATTCATGATATTATATTATTGTCTCCTACATACTTCCCTTTTTAACGCAATCGTGGCTTGGGAGATTTGGTTGGTTTTTCGTTTGTTTGGTAAAAGTTTTGATTATTGTTTTCAATGTAAAAACAGTCCTTTATTTCCATAGAAGAAGAGATCAGATATGACGTGAAGGTGCTTTCAAGAGCAACAACTTTCTCTAACGCAGTTTGTGAGAGTCTGGTGATGACAATCAAGTCATCTATCGTACAGAATTGTAACAACTTTACGACTAATTCATTCTTAGGCGACTTGTGTTAGAAACTTAAAACGTTACGTGTAGTCAAGAATAATTTAATGCGTTTGGCCAACAAAAAAGATGAACAATTTGCTGTGTTAATGAGACTCCAATTGAGCATTTTAGAACTTTCTGGGATATCTGGATATGGATATATATATATATATATATATATGAATATTACATAAAGAAAGTTAGTACATAGACCCCGTCACATACATATATAATACTCTGATTAATTACCACATATAAGACATATGCAAGCAAGTTATACCCAACTACGAGTCTAGCTACGACAACCAACACACGATTAAGTAGAACCTGTAACAGATTGAGAAGAAAGATGCATAAGGCAACACAATCGGCTTCCAGATGCATGCATGATGATTAAATCCCCGGAAAAATTCAAAGATTCTCAAATATATATATATATATATATATATATATATAGCTAATGGAGGCATTTGATGATATTGTATGATCTTATTGACTCGTTTACTGATGGACACGTGTGCAGTGAAGCATTCATATCAACCGCCACGATCATATTAAGCTCATATTCTGACTTAAGTATGACATGATCTGATCTTGTCCTTCATCATATATGTGCGATCAAATATTTAGCATTCCGAAGAATATCTTAAGTGCAATCACTATGATATATACTGTTGACATCAAGGCATGCCATGCAAAATACTCCTACATGTTAATAAATTTAACCCACTAAACAAATTTAGTGTAAGTTGTAGATACTCTTGTTATTAATACATGTGCATGTAGTGACACAGTTAAAAAGGATCTGCCATGCCTATGTCAATATCTCAAGAGAAACTAGTCTATGCTGTCAGTGGAGTATATTTGTGTTTAACCAAAAAATTAACCCGCTACTCTCTTCAATTAATCCTAAGAATGTTGGGGGGAAAATAATAAATGTGGGTAGTAAAAAATTGAAGTTACTCATTTAGAACTAGAAGGAGTATAATAACATATTCATTGAAATTGTAGAGTATTAAGATTTTATTTTCGTTATGAATTTAGAAGAAGAATGGGCATTATTTGAAAATGTTGATAGGTTGATGTATACTATATATGTAGTTATAAGTTTTTTAAGGATGGCGATATATTTTGAATGTATTACTATTTAAAAAATAAAAAATATATTAACAAATAAAAAATTCAAAACACAACTCTTACTAGATTGAATGTTAACTAATCAAATAAATCTTTTTGCAATATTAAAGAAAGTAGTTGCTTTTTTAATATTTTTAAACATTTTTATTTTTAATATTACGAATTATAGATCATTGAGTGTCATTTTTGGTATTGCGAACTCAAGTTAAAAATCTCAAACTACATATTTTTTAAACTAAAAAAAACTTGTTTATTAAAAAAATTAGTAGTACGACTATATTAAAAAGCAAAAGAGTGCGTCACATTCTATTATTTTGGGCAATAACAAGGCGTGAGTGTATCATTAAATTTTGGTCTACTCAAACTCCACAGAAGGCTTACTGTCTAGCACCAAAATAACACGTTCTTTGTTACTCCCTCTAATCATATACATAGGATAAAGAGAGAAAAAAAATTTTAATCCTATTTATAAATTATGTTATTAAATTTTTATCATAAATTTATTTTTTTTACCCTCCATTAAATGTTAAAAAAAGAATGTTATATATATTTAATAAAAAAATTAAAAACTTATTAAATTTTAAAGATAAAATTAATAAGTTTTAAAGTTTTCTTTAATATTGATAAAATATATTAAAAGTAATTTAAAAATAAAATCAGAAGAATATAAAAGTACCACGCTATTTATTGCTCAAAGAAATAAGTAACACTTAACACTTTATATCATGTAAGAAATAGCATCAAATTTTTATATAAATGAAATTTAAACAGTCCATATTTTATTTTATTTTAAATTTAAAATATTCTTTTTATAAATTGATAGTTATAAGATCAATACTAATCTATATTCTGCATAACCTATATTTTAAAATATAAATAAATAATAAAAAAATCCAAATCTCACACAAATGGATGATCCACAGTAGAAGTACACCTTCAGCGCATTTTGACTATTTTAAAGTTAATAAAAAAAAAATGTGCATAAGATCCAAATGCTCATGTGACTAGTTACGAATAAATATGCTTAGAAATAAATAAAACAAATTAACACTTGGATTGATGAATTTAAATTTTAGATTTGAAATATTACATTTTAAATCTTATATTTAAAATTCATGTATTCAAAATCTTTTATTTTGATAGTTTAAAAAAATTTTAATGGAAAAAAAAAATGGATTGAGAATCAAAATGAAAATAAAAAATGAAAAATGAAAATTTTAATTTTTTTTTAACAAGAAATAAGAAAAAATACAAGTTAGAGATCTCAATATTAAAAACATAAAGAGAACAAGATATTTAAAGTTATTAGAATTTTAAAAAATTAAAATGTAGGAAAAATTTAAAATTATAAAAAAAATATAATTTAAAATAGAATGAAAGATTTGGTTTAAATTCAAATCCTTTTTATTTTTATTTTTTGCCAAAAGAATCTTTTTTAATTCAAACACTCCATTACAGCATATGTGCATGTGAGTCAATCACAATCAGACCAACTGCGAATTGATAATACCATCAATAGAGTGACCATTTTGACTTTCGGACCATTGTCAAAAAAATGTTAATGATGAAATGTTAATCATACACGAGGGAAAAAATTCAAATAATTAAAACTCAAACTCAACATTACAGATATCGCTAGCTTTTCTCCTAGCCTTTGTGATATGACTTCATTGATCACCTGTTATCCTTTAAGAAGTCTAAAACAGAACAAAGAATGAGCAAACAAAAAATTGGCGGCCCTGCCAGTAGGCGGAAGAGGAGATGCTTCACTTTATCAAGTAGACTGACAAAATTTTTGGCGAAAGATGAATAAAACAGAAGATTTGTAAGGAAAACCACTGGTTAGATGATTTCCTACAAGCACGAGTCAAAATAATCAAATTTCTTTACAGCTCAATCATCTGGGACAGTGCAAAGCAACCCATGTCCGGGACTATGCTCCAGAGGATACATTGTTGTGCCCTTCACATACTTAAGTTGGTCAAGTGCCGCTTTTCTGAGCTTTAAAACTGCGCTTGGATTTCTTTTAACTTGCTTCTTTATGATGGAACACGCACCCAGTGGATCTTCTGATCCTGCTCCAACTCTCCTGTGGTAATCATAAATTTGAGAATCTCCAACAAGTCTCAACAAGAAATTAATTTCCCTTCCTATGAGGAGCTTAATTAATGTTTGCGCCATAATCAGTAACACAAAACATCCTTTTGGGGTGCATGTGGCGGCAAGTCTAGGCTTGCATTAGCGTTAACCATCCATATAATATGCATTTTCCAAACATGTAAGCAATACCTCGCACTTACAGTTAGCCAGATTATCTGGAGTTATGCAGAATGGTAAACTAGCAGGGCTAAATGACTATGGTCAAATAAGTTCGTATTCTGGGATTTGCCAAAATTTCACACCAGGAACAGGAAAGAGACCAAAAGTCATCTATCATGTTATTTGACCACAAACAAATGCTTCACTTATCACAATTTCAGCTGTCTTAGCAGTTGTGAATCTGGAGAAAACAGCCACAAGATAAAATTGCACTTACTAATATAATTAGCCCATCAAGCTCCCTGGTAACATCCTTTCAACAACAAAAACAAATTAGAAACAATATGGCCATAATGAAAACTAATTGTTTACCTCAACAATTTCTCTGACGCAGTCCTGGCTGCTCTAATAGTGTGATGATCTGGAACCCATTTTACAACACGATTTGGATCAGCACGCATGGGAGAATGAATTCTGATAAGCTTGACAATATAAACACAAATGATCAGATAATGCCTCCAAAAAAGAGAAGCCAACAAGATTATACTCATACTACAAATTCAATGGAGAATAAACATCCTTCTTGTTTTATCACTTGGACAATCTATGTATGAAGCTTCAAAAATTATGCATGATTCTCATCTTTTCCCCCCCTTTTTGGATCAAACATGATTCTCATCATTTAGCAAGAGGAAAAATCTGGTTCACGTACTCTACCATGAAGCTAAAATTAACAAAAAAAAGCAGTAGACTTACTCCTAAACACTCCATCATCTGGTAATAAGCTCTTCCATACAATGGGGTATGACCTTTACGAGATTCAGAGAAATATCGAGTCCTACAAGAAAAATGTGAGGCTTTTAGTCAGATAACTATAATCAAATAAACATGCCATTTAACCAGAAATCCTAATTGCAAATGGAAAATTCAATACCATTCTTTATATCCAGGATCCACAGTGAAGCCGTACATATCAACTGATTCACATATAGAGAGAGCAAATTCAAGAGCCTTAAGACCTGTTCCTTTTGCTGCTGAACCAAAGGATGCGCCTAGCATAAGATATACCGGATTTGTTATGGGCACTTCCTGCAGAAGACAGAAGCCAAAAAAAAAAAAAAAACAGACTTGATTAGACAATTGACTCCAATGGTGTGAGATGTTTGTGGGTATGTAACTAAGGAAACAAACCCGAATCATTTTGCTCATAATGTCATGAATTGTAGTTTTTACTATCAAAACCTCCTTCCTTTGTTCTGCAAAACCAGCACTTTGAAGTGAGTTCTAGTCAATCAGAAAAGGAATTATAAAAAGTGGATTTCATATTCGAGAGTTTACCATCTAACTCTGCAACTTTGTCAAGTGCTTTGGCAGATCCCCGGTTAAGAAGACGAAATGTGTTCTTTTTACCCACATATTCAGTGTAGTTCTGCAGTTATACATGAATTTGAAGGGAGGTGGTCAGAACCTAGAAGAAAAGGAACAGCAGTAACATTCTATTGCGCCAGTAACCTGTGTTGGAGCACCATTTTCTCTGATTACAGCCTCATAGCCATCTATCTCCTTCCCAAACTTTGTCTTCAAGAGATCTCCTGAATTACCAATGACAGCACAGCGTCCAAACTGCCTTGGGAAATATGGTGGTGTCTCCGGGAGAACCAGTGAAAGTTTCTCCATGCATAAGGTCTTGTTCTCACAGTGGTTGCTGTACCAAAGACAGTATAAGGCTAACCTTACTTTCTATTTGAGCAATATCCACCAGATTGATCACTATAGGAGTATAGGTAATTTTTAAATGTGAAATATAGAAAATAGCTCATCAAATATTAGGGGGCCGCTTGGTTTGAAGTAAGTGATAAAGGGAAGTTAGACGTTTTGAGAAGTGAATAAATTACCGTTGCTTGGTTCGCTAGAAGGCTCAACTTCTTGAAAAGTTGCGCTTCCAACTTCCCTTGCAACTAAGGGAAGTAACTTACTGAATAGAATATAAGTTCTACTTCACCAATATTTATTATAAATTTCCAAATTTACCCTTGAAATTATGAAATAAAATTCAGTAAAAAGGATATTTTAGTCTTTAACATTAAAAAAATACTACATTTATTTAAAAATAATTTGGAGTTTCCAGGAATTAAGAACAATGAAACAAATAATTAGCTACCGAGAAGTTAACTTCTTAAGAAGTATATTTTCTGCGAAGTTAAATTTCCCAAAAATTAGGTAAATTGGACCAACCAACCCCTAAGAATCTAATGTAGTATCCAGAAATACATACGAACAAGAATCAAAAGAATAAAAGTTTTAAATCCTTTGCAGTAGGATGTAATTGTTAACTTAAAAACTGAAGAATGCAAGCCTCAGCTTCCTTTTTATTCCTTTTGTAACATTAGCTTCCTGTGTAAATAAAATCCATATTGTGTTTGCCTCTAAAAAGAACATATTGAAAAAAGGTCTGGAAATTAATTAAGTGCCTGATATCATAGATTCAGAGCACAAGAATAATATCTTCCGCGTCTTTCCAGGATATAAAGTGAAGACTAATGCATTGCTGAATTGGAAAATACTTCACAATATTTGGGGTTTTAAAAATGACCTTTCTGGAAACTTGTGACCAGCTCTATACAGCACACAACCACTACCCATTTCTCAAAACGAATAAACATACTTATTGATTGATTTCGTAAAGCTGCTATCCTCATGGTTTAGAGTCAGACTTACAGAAGTGCTCCTTTGTTTATCCTCTGCCATGCATATTCCTCCCATCCATTTGGCAAAGAATCAATGAATTCCTTGGTGAGTATTGTGGTGCTATTCCTCACCTGAGAAGTCAATCCATGATTCAGGGATACACTACAACTAAATGTGAAGAAAACGCACAAAATTCCCTTACTACTCAACTAAAGGACAACTATGAGAAAGAAATTAACAATAACGCAAAGGGGATAGCAAGAATGAAAGTTATTCCTAATGGTTATGGATATATTGATGCAAAAAATTTTAAATAGGAAAAAAAAGATGTCAAGATAAAAAAAAAAAATTGATGTCAAACTGTTTTGTTCACATGATTCGCTTACAAAGGGAAAAAAAGAAGGAAAGAGCCTTCATTATATCATCAAGATGGTGTTTCAGCTATCTCACTGTCTTCCTTTTGGTAGCAATCCTTTCACTTGCACTAAAGTTTGGTTGGAGGGGAGGGGAAGGGAGTGGAAGGATTTTTAATGGAGGGGAGGGATCCCCTCCATTATAATATAGCCAAACAAGGGGAAGGGAGCCCCTCCCCTACATTTTCACATCCAAACAAGGGGAAGCCCCCTCCAACCAAACATACTCTTGGCGTCAGCCAAGTCAAGCACTCGCATGTATTTGAGCCCAAAAATGATTTAAAAAAAAACAAAAGCCATACAAATGTTGCTAGTATGCCATAGCTGTGTTGACACACTTTAAATAGGTTTGTCTATGCTTTATAGGGTACACCATAAAACCAAATCAGAAAATAATTCAAAAAACTCATCTTAAGTTGGAGACCAGTAGATGAAGGAAATCAAAATGATGAGACACAAAGATGAAGGTGCTCACCTGTTCCCATGTTGCCACAGCTTCACATAGATTGAAATCAAAGGATAAAGCTTCCAGTTCACCAGTTTTGGGATCTCTCTGTTCATACAGAAACCTTCGTAAATCAACAAAAATAAAAAAGGACAAGCAATTGACAAAAAGAAACACCATAATGCACGACAGAATTATAAATTTTTATCTATTTGTAACCCGTATGATATATAAAATATCACAGTTTGTTCCTTCGGCGGGCGGAAAACATAGTTCTCAAGTAGCAGGACGTCATAGTTAACAAATTTGCAGAACCATATAGGAAACTCAGAAACAAGTTACTTTCATGAAAAATAATTTGGTGACTAATGATCTGGAAAATATACCCATTTTGGGATAGTATCACTAGGGAAGTTTATTGTGGTTTGGCAATAATCTCTGCCCCGAACAGCTTTGAGGCCTAGACCATTTGCACTCTGCATCAAACACAAAAATAGCCACCAACCCAATGTGAAAAGATGATTGAGAATAATTTTCATCATGTCTGTAAGATTGATTTTCCACAATTAAAGATCATAAATTCAGCCAAACCTGAAGATAAAGTGTAAAAAATTTGTCCACCCAAAAGTAACAATTTTAGTTTATAGTAATCGTTGGATATCCTTTATGTTGAATTTTCCTGGCATTTGCTGAGTAACTTGCCAAAATGTAAACATGATCCAATTTTTTTAAGGATTTAAACCAGTAGTGAACTCAATCACAATCCTATATGCACATTAGACAGCCTAGTTTCTTAAGGGTTGCGTAAACTCAACGGCCCTATCATGTTCGCAGCAGACAGCACTGCTGAAATGCTCAAACGACTCATCAAGAAAAAATGTGCAAACAACTAACCATAGAGACCTAACAAAGCAGCGTCTTTTAAATACACTCCAGCACAAGAAGAGCAGTGAGTAAAAAATCAAGATTTTATTTCAACAATAGAACAGCAAAACTCACCACGCACTGCTGGAAACGGTTCTGCAAAGATAGCAACGCTTCTATCTCATTGTCTGTTAGCTGATAGCTCTCATCTGCCCATTATTACGCTATAATTAGATCTCAGGCAATTAAACCCTTTACTTGCCAGTTCTTGAATTCCTTCTTGTTCAAGAACAAAAGTAAAACCCTATTTGATTCAAATGCATGCAGGAGCGCCAAGTTACTCAAATAAGATATGGATGTTGAAGAGTAAGGGAAGTGCCAAGTGAGTCAAATAAGATATACATACATACAGAGGGATTAGAGACTCCAGTAATGTAAATGATAATGGCGGCAAATCCAGATGCCAAGGAAAGCAACAAGCCCAACTGCAGAAGCCTCATCGAATGGTAAATATCAGAATCGGAAACAACGAATGGAGATACCCAGCGAGGCTGCTTTATATCTGTGAGGTAAGAGGTGTTTCCAGAACTTTAGACTTTGAATCTGGGAAGAGAGGACGATCGAGGGGATAGTTGTATTGCTCCTTTGCTGAAGTGAAGTGCTTGATTAACTCTGTCTGCAGAGAAGGATTCAGAAAGCAGATCAAATGTTAATCATTAATCAATTAATCAAACATTATTCAAATATACAAGATTGACGTCGAAGTGATTCGATTTACTTGATAGAGGGATTAAAACGAGTTGATGAAGCTTATTTAAAAAAAAAAAAATTGAGTTAGATTAAAAAAATGGAGATCCCAGTTAAGCTTGTTGGACCGCGTAACATTTTTATTAGAAAATTTTCTTTGAAAATAAAAGGTTAATGAAATTTTTAATCTCTTAAATTTATGTCACTCATTGAGAGTCTCAAGTTAAAATTTCATTAATTTAGCTGTTAAAATTTATTTCAATTATTAATTTAATTTTTATTATTTAAAAAGAAAGCAACATCATTAAAATAAGATAGTGAAATATTAAATTGGAAGTATTAATGAAAAAAATATAATTATTTATAAAAAATTATAAAATTTAGATAACAAAATAATAAAATGCAGTGTTAGGAACTAGATTGGTAAAAAATAAACTAATTTGAGAATCAATTTATTCTCATTTAATTATATATACGTTTTGGCCTGATATTTAATTATATATACATGCTTAACCATCAACATATTTTATTTATCAAAATAATTTGGGAGTCAACTTTTTTTTCTTTTAACAAAATTTTGGGGGTCAACTTGTATTTAAAAATTTAAAGGAGTATCGTGATTATTTAAAAATATGTGAATGACTAAATTGATAAAATTAAATATAAAGAACTAGTAATTAAGATAAACCTGAAGAATTGAAAAAAACTTGGTAGAGTAATTTATCATGTCTAGAAAGAACTTGATCCGCAATAAGAAGGCTTAAGAGTTAGATGTTATAGATATGCATGTCAAAAACAAAGACTTAACGAAAAGAACTTTTCTGCAAAGAAATTGGTGTTATTAACAGTAGTTTATTGTTATAGACTTGCAACTTTCGTATGCTTTTGTGTGAAAGATAAATTGGAGAAACCCTACCTAAAAAATGACTTCTTCTTCTTTTTTTTTTCAATTGTTCACCGTTAGTTTTATTAAAAACAATCATATTCTGAACACAAATCAAGTATTATAAATGAACACTTTTCATAATAGAAAATCAAAATTTTAATTTACCATCTTATAAAAAACTAATTCATCTTATCAGTGAGGTGGCTTTTAATTGTTCCTCCTTCCATCTCTCTTGCACAATATAGAGCCTTTTCTTTTTAGTAGTTATGAAATTCATCATCATTTTCCCAAAAAATCTAGCCAACTATCAATGGCTAGTTGTTTCAATAGTAACATTACTTTTTTCTTTTGGAATAGATCTTGGATTCAAACTTGGCATTTACGTATTTATATACGGGTGTAGGTGTATGTTTTCATTTTCTACAAGGAAGTGTGACATTAGGGGTGAATTGTTAGGGGAAAAAACATTATAAAATTAGTCTTTTGAAAAACGACCACATTCATGACTGCCATTTAAAAAAAAAAAAAAGACTCGAGTCCTTGGCCCAAGAAAAAAATTATGTGAACCTACTTTGCCGTTGTTTTTATTTTTTGGTCGAACACCTTTGTTGTTTTATCGTTAACAAAAACTCCAAAAGAATAATCAAACAATATGAAGATCCAACACAAGTGTGGGTGGTTGTTATTTGGGCTTAGGATGCAATCATCAGCAGACCTCACTTGTCTCTTTCATTGTAGGCCTTGGGCCATATCCCAATTCACCCGTCATATGAACCCGCATAACTGTATTTTTTTTTTTTTTGGGTAAGAACTATGTTGATTTTCTTTTACAAGACAAAAAAGCTGCGTGACTGTAAGGTTTTTTTTTTTTTTTTCACTCGATATCTTAAAGAGTGTAGGTATTATAAGTTTATTGCCCACCCACCCCATTCCAAGCTAATTCAAATCCCCGCATAGGTTGGGCCCTTAACATGGTGGTTTTGCATATACCATGGGTGAGATATACTTTGTGTGCTTAGCTGCGCATCTACATATTCTAGGACTTGAACATGAGACCTCAGGTTAAATTGGTCTAAACTCCTAACCACTCAAATAAGCACTTGTTAGTCTGTAAGTTGAATTTTATTTTGAATAAAAAGAAGACTTCATGACCAAAATGAGTCGCTCTATATGATAACTTGAGTCCAATATTTTGCTAGACCAAAAAATGTGTCCAAAAATTCATAGACGTAAAGAGTAATGCAAAGAGCAATCATGAACTTAGTTCAATTTGATTTTGAATTAAAATTAAATCAAAACAAAAAAAAAGTTAGCTTTTGGAGGAAGAACCTTTTCGACTTTGTATCTTAATTGGTCTGGTTAATGTGTATACGTGGGCAACTTTTGGTTTATCCTTAAAACGTGGCACTTTTTATGTTACATCATAATTCAAGCAAATGGCAAGTCCATTCAAAATTAAATGATAATTACTTCTTTTTAAATTTATAATTTATAAACAGAGATTGGAGTTATGCATGACATTTGAATCAATTCTAAATTTTAATTAAATAAAGTGAATCTTGATCTTTAAAAAGCCAACAACTATTTCTACTCAAATCTCCTAACAAAGGAATCACAATGAAAATGGCAACTTACTAAGATAAAACCTTCAGTAATTCACAGATCTCAGAAAGCGCATTACGAATTTACTTGGCAAATAAAAGGCAAGTTTAGGTGCCAAAATAGAGTAGAAAATAGTGTGAAAGTTAATGAAACTAGTTTCAGTGCTCATCTACAAAGCTCGTCATCTCAGATCATTTAGATTTAATTTTCATAATCTAGATTTACACTTTTTAAAATTCTGTTTTTAAAATAAAAAATTAGTCTTTTGAAAAACTGATGGTTAAGATATTGTTTTTATTTTAAATTCTGTATTCATTAAAATAATTTAAAAAAATGAATGTAAAAAGCTATAAATTAAGATTAGATCTAAACAGTTCAGAGGTGATGAACTTTCAGTGCTCATCTATATAATGAGCATTGAAATTGACTCCAGAAGTTAACAAGATACTTCTTTTAATTTTATTTATAAATTACTTCTAATATATTTCATCATAATAAAAAAAATTTTCAACAATTTCTTTATTTTTAAAAATTAATTATTTTTTAATTTTATTTTTATTAAATATACATAATTTAATAACATATTTTATTTGATCAATCCAAAGAAGGGAATTCATATTATGTATCTATGGCATATAGTATATCTTATAAACAAAACAAAAAAAAAATTATGTATCTTATGAATAGAACCAAAACGCGTAAAAAAGAATGTGTAAGGGGTCTGTATCTTGCAGGAGAGAAAAAAGGGACATTAATGGCAGATTCAATGCATGCCATGCTCATATGTTTCTCCACTGCGACCGGGACCATCTGCAATTTGACCACCCTCTCCAGCTACACTATCACCGTGCCTTTTTTATTTTAATAACCATCCTCTCCCTACACACACGTAGAGGATTAAAAATCAGAAAGGCAAGTCATTACGCAAATCATGCATATATTACCTGGCCGTCCAATTCTACGTCAAGTCCTTATCAGAATTTGACAGATCAAACTACCTTATCTTCACTCACCCTGACGCATATCAATGAGAAGTAGTTAAGATCCGAGTTTTATTGTTGAAATAAAATACAAAACCCTGCCCTTATAATAAATCACTTTTGAAATAATGACCACAAATTAAATCCAACCACTGCTCAATCATTATGCAAAGGGCATAGCAATAGGAGTAGGGGCTACTGCCAAGCATAAACGAACAACGAGGACAATGAGTTTCTTTAATTAGTGTTACTGTTTGAAAGCATGAATTTACGTAAACATTAAAGCAGTAGCTGTGAGGATTCAAGATGCTGACAAGTCGTACTTGCCATTCGAAAAAGGAAAATGTCAAAATACAAATTACTGCTCTGCTCCTATCTATATAATAAAGGGAGAAAATTTTTTTATCTTGTCTGTAAATTATCTCATTAAATTTTTATTAAAATTTTTTTCATTTAATCTCCACTAAATACTTAAAAAAAATTAAATTATATATATTTAATATGGTTAAAGTTGAGAAATTATTAAATTTTTAAATAGAATTAATGAGTTTTATTTTTTTAATTTTAATGAAATATATTAAAAAAATTTTATAAATAAAAATAGGGAAGCAATTACGATATCAAAATTCTGGTCAACTAAAAATGTCAAGGTAAAGAATGCCATGAAGGGGTAGCCAGGGGCATCGAATGCCGTAAGCTCCAAGTTTTCAATTTTTTCTTTATATCAATGTCAAAGGATAATTTCACCTTTAATTATATATGTCTAAAAATATTTAAGATTCTAAACTTATTTTTAATATAGTATTTTTTATTTTAAAAATAGTTTAATGCCATCTTTATCATTCTATTAAAAAAATATAAAGTATTTTAAATATTTTAAAATATAATTAATGTATTATTTATAAAAATACCTTTAATAAATAAATTATTCTATATTTACTTTTAAGTAAACCAGTTTATTAAATAGAAATAAATATATAAAAATTTATATTAGTCAAAATATAATTTATTTATTTATTAAGGATGAATTACGATTAACAATGCTTTGTAATTTTGGTAGGAAGAGTGTTGTAATTTTCTTCATGTTTCTTTTTTGGTTGGATACAAAAAGAGCAGAAAATTAACTGGCTTAAACAGAATGGCACGGTTTTCATCAATTTTCTCGAGGTTTTATTTGTAAAAGATTTAAACTTATTTCAGTTCATAGGAATTTGTTTTCCAAGATAAGCTTTGCAGAAGTTATGATTTTAAGGTACTCCCTGTCAATTTATAATTTATATTTTTAAAAAATTTATTTAATTTATTTATAAGTCATGATATTCTTTTTTAAATAATATTTAAAAAATATTTTTAAAATTATTTTTTATAAAAAAATAAAATGACATTGTTTTTTAAATTTATTATATAAAAATATATTTAAAATTTAAAATTTAAAATTTTTTATATTTTTTTATATTAATATTAATAAAGTTGATAAAAATAATTTATGAAGATTACAGGAGAGTACTTGTGTTTTCTTTAAAGCACCCTGCGAGGAAGACACTTTATTGGACGCGTGGTGCTAGTTCATGCATGGTGCT